TCGCTTGCGCGTAGGGGTCTTTAGCAGTTGGAGGAAAACAAACTTTTGAGAGTGATAATTACTTCTTAAGAGAGAGAGAGAGAGAGAGAGAGAGAGAGAGAGGGGGGGAGCTTAATGGGGTTCTAAAGACTTACGACACCCTTCTAAAATACTAAATGCATGAGAAACTGGGGAGAGACAGAGAGAGAGAGAGAGAGAGGGGGAGAGAGAGAGTGAGAGAGATTAACGTTAACTCGACACAAACTATGATTTCAGGATTAACATATGGTTCAAAAATTTATTTCAATAATTCGCTTTAGTGGAAGCAGAGGACCCGGAGAAAACCCACGAGGTTTGGACAGACTACCCGACTCCTTGTCACTTGTCACGTTCAAGTGGGGAATTGAAACCATGCCACTTAATTTAATGACAGACCTAACCATCTAACGCGTTTCACCATTCAGCCATCATCAACCCCCACCTCCCACCCTACCACGATTTGTTTCAACACTTCGAGATGTGTTTTGTTGATAATACAGACACTGGGAACAGGTTTTACAGTAATCCGAACATTCCTTTTCAAAAGCTATACAGTACAGAACTTAGAAGAAAGATTCCGTTAGTTGGTGTTTTATCACTTTCAGAACTTGTTTGATCTAAACGAAAACACACGTACGCGCACACACACGTGAAATGTTTTCTACATCTAACAAACTGTAGGAAGGTATAATAATTAGGCTAATCAACGTCAAACGAAGGAATAACATCGTCTAGCTCGCCACAGGTGGTCATACATCTCAATATACTATTAGGGTACATTCGTGATCGACCATTTTCACTGATGATCAGCAGTGAATATTCGCTTGGCCGCTACTATCACTGATAGGGCAAACTGGTCAGCAGTGAATATTCGCTTGGTCGCTAGTATCACCGAGAGGAGTGACAAAGGCACGAGTTATTTTAGCTTTCAAAATTAAATTCTAAAACGATTTTTAAAATTATTAGAAATTGGAAGTAATTGTTGGAAATAATATGGATATCTCGACCACTGGTATACCAAACACCCCAAAAAACAATTAGAATCAGAGGAAACGATTGATTGTTAATTAATTGATTCAGAACAGTGTAAAATTGAAGGAACACTAACCAAAATATTTTAAAAATTAATCGCCATTTTGTTAAATAGTGAAACGTTAAACCCCATTTCATTTCAATCGCCATTTTGTTTTTAAATTTTACGTTGTGTTTATGTAACCGCAGATAACGTGGGATATAATTACTGTCCATGCTGTCACTGTTCACCACGCCACCTGCCGGTATCTTATCAACATATAACACGACCTGTTAACCCACTAAATCTTACAGACCAACCCTCGATTTCACTCAACCAGAAACGTCTTATTTTCATAATTCCAGACTACAAGTCTGAAAACTGAAAAGGAATGTCTAAAAACCAATTTTAAATGTTTATATCTTGTGAGTAAATCTAGCCATGTTTTTAAAAAGACAACAACAGACCAAAACCCGACAAATGAATTTCAGTTTAACTTTTTTTTTTGGTTGGTTTATTTTTTTTTTTGTTGTAATCTTTAAATTTCTTGCAGGCATTGTTTGCATATTGCATATGCTTCTTATTAGATTATTTTAAAACAGAAACACCCACACATAGTATGACATAGTCGAGTAATAAACGTGAAATAAAGGGTTTAATGACCTGCTGTTTGGCATCAACTGGGTTAATTAAGACAATTGCGTGTCCATCTCGCACTGGTTCTTCTTCACGAACATCAACGTATAATCAACTCTCTAGACCCCGCAACCCCCACCCGCAACTCCCGAGATTAAATTTTTTTTACGATAAAATGGATAATCGAGACTTAGTCTAGAATGCCAAGCACGACAGTTGCTACGATAATAATAAAAAAAACCAAAATTCCGCTTCATTTTGTCGAAACTTCAATCACTTATAACTTCGCTCAGAATAAGTAATTTAACTGATATTTTCGATATATTCATTTTTCATTATCTATTTTTGAATTATTATAGCAAGAACTGTCAGCTCTTTATCTAAATCTTACATACTACATCTTTAAGCAATAACTCAGTAATTATTATCAATTTATCTCGTCTTCATTATCCCAGTTCGTGAAGAAAAGTAGGACGTCAAACCCCCTTTCATTTTTTACCCTGTGAACAAGATGTTTTAGAGATAAACTTATAGAGTTTCTGAAGTTTGTTTAACAAGTTTTTCGTCTGGTTTGAAGATTTTTAAAATATTAGTAAGGATGTGAATTTTATGATAATTGTCCAGGCGTCAGTTTACAAATTGTTTAACTTGTTGAACTACGTGGGAAACGAGAAATAAAACGAAATGAGGTTTAACGTCCTACTTTTCTGCTCCGACTGGGCTAAGGAGAAATGAAATGAATCACCGGAAGTAATTATAATGACCATATTACTCCTATTTTACAGAAACTCCATTGGTTACCGATTATTTTTAGAATCCTCCTTTTAACTTTTAAATGTATAAATGATATGTCACCATCTTATTTATCTTCACTTTTAGAAATGTACACATCAAGTCGCACTCTGCGCTCTTCATCTGATCATGTTTTACTTGTAAATAAATCAGCAAGACTTTTATCTTTTGGAGATCGATCTTTTACCGTCCAGGCACCGAAATTATGGAATTCTTTACCTTTTAATATAAGATGCTGCACAGATTTAATCTCTCTTAAGTCACTTCTTAAAACATTTTTGTTTAAGAAAGCCTTTAACTTATAATTCTTTTAAAACCTATTTGTGATATGAGATTTTATTCTACGCTACCGTGTTATGTTTTAATTCTATAGTTTTATTTAGTTTTTTTATATATATATTTATTTTTATTACATATTTAATTGAATTGTATTGTACAACGGAACACGTTTTGTGGAAGATAGCGCTCTATAAATGTTATAATAATAAATTATATATAATAATGGAATGAGGTTTAACATCCTACTGTTCTGGTCCGACTGAGCTAACGTGAAATGAAATGAAATGGGGTTTAATATGGCAATGCGTCAAGCGGCGTGTTATCGACCACATACAATAGCAAGCTCTAGAGTCGCGTTTCTAACCTCGCGGAATTTGTCTGGGTCCTCTGGTTTCCTCCCACTGCTAAAGACCCCTACGCCGCAAGAAAATTATTGAAATAAAAGTGTACCGCATGTTACTACCAAAAGGATCTAACTTGTGTTGAGTGGACTTTAAACCCCATTCTCTCTCTCTCTAGTTCTCTAGAACACCCTATACACTTTTAATTATCTATAAACTATAACACATACTTATGGAAAAACAGCTACTTATTTATTTGGGCGACGTTTCGAACAGTATTCTCTCAACGTTATCAAGCTAATACAGTAATACAAGAATTATGAGGCCAATATATATACAGAAAAACTATTAGTGTATTACCTTGATAACGTTGAAAGAATACTCTTCGAAATGTCGTCCAAATAAATAAGTAGCTGTTTTTTCATAAGTATGTGTTATAATTTATTGCTCTATCCAGTTACTAAATGCCTCTCAAAGATTATTTAATTATCTAGAAATGTCGCATATTATCAAAACTATTTTAGGCGTGTTATGGTTTTATAAAACAACTTGATTTACGTAATAAAACAGGGTAATAAAACAAAATGTCTCTTGTTTAGTTGTTATAAACTATGAGTCAGCGAATTCCCAGAAAACCTTTAAAGTCCCTTTTACTCCGACAAGAAAGGCCTGATCCCAATCAATGGTGATGTAATACGATAGATTAGTTTGTCAAGACTTTATGCATGGTGGTTTGGTTATCTGATATTCACTGGTTGTTATTATATACCACGACAATATATACACTTTAGGGATTTATTTACTCGCAGTAGACCATATGATCTGTTTATCATAATATATTTGTCTTATCTTAAATGTTAAATTATAAAAAATCGCAGATCTGAGTTAAGCGAGTTATAAATCCAGATATAAATAAAATTAGTTGATGCTGAATTTAACACAAATTAGGGATTAGGGAAATGTTTAAGAGGGTTAACGGGGTTCAGTCCAGGGTCCTGTTAAAGGGGTGTACTTGGGGCTCCTACTCAGGCCTCACAAGAGGGGGTGCAGCCGGTGCGCCGTCCCAGGGCGCATGAATATCAAAGTTCAAAATTGACAAAATGTCAGGCACTAATGAAATAGTATCTCATATTTTCAACTTAGTGCCGGACATGTATTAATAATATCAATAAAAAAGACAAATCAGTTGAAATAAGTGCCGGACAAAATGACAGGCACCAGAGATATTGTGCCTGACAAAGTCGGAATCTGTGCCTGACATTGTCTGTGACAGGTGCCTTATTTCCAGGCTTGCAATGTATTTATTGAGCTTGATAACAATCAGATTGTATACCCGTGATTGTTTCCCATAAAGCTTATGTTTCTGTTTGTATATTTATTACATTGTTACTTCCAATAAAGAGAGAGAGAGAGAGAGAGAAATGGGGTTTTACGTCCACTCGACACAGACTAGGTCATTTCGGGACTAACATATGGTTTAATTTTATTTCAATAATTCGCATTCGCGTAGGGGTCTTTAGCAGTGGCAGGAAACCGGAGGACCCGGAGAAAACCCACGAGGCTGGACAGGCAACCCTAACTCCTTGTCACGTACAACCGGGGATTCGAAACCACGCCAGTTGACTCAATGACAGGCCTCATGATACAGCGCGCGCGTGCTAACCATTCGGCCATCCAACTTTTAACACATCAGCAAGAAACGCGCCCTAGGGCCACGGTTAAGGAAATTTACGCCTTGGTCTTTAGGCATCTTTACACAACGCCCTTGAATCAGTAGTGAACAAGGCAGCGTTTATCTATATTTATGTATGTTTGTTCTAATGTGATTTTTCTTTACAATAAATCTACTCAAAGATAGGCGGGGGGGGGGGGGCAGGTATTTAAAGTATTAATTAAAATAAATTTAATGAAATGTAACTTACCTAAAACTACGACCAGCACGATGGATAAAACCCATAAATTGAGAAGAAAGAGGAGAATTTTGGCACACGTCACCACATTTCGGAACATTTTACTGTTTTTACTGCCGTGGATTACTCGGCGATCATTCCTCGCTTCTGAAACAAACGGAACATCATAGATATTATAACTTCCTGAGGGAAGACGAATGCACTCCTGGTTCATCGTTCCCATCTTAAAAACTGCCATTTATCGTCGGTTCGGAACCAGTTCCCAAACAACACTTCTTTTCTTATTTTTGCACTCGTCTACTGCACGTGCCGACGTGTCGTCTGCTCGAGTTGTTTGGAATGGTAGCAGACTGGTAGGGTGATGTTTGCGCGAGACTACAAGTGTTCGTCTGCTACTGAATGAAGTTGCAGACAGCTTGTTAATCATTGGCAGAACATTTTCTCAGGCCTGCACGTGGTTAATCTTTCCAGACGTCAAATGTTGTTATACAAATTACTAGAACAGCTACCTAATGGGGTATATACGTAAGAATTTATTTTTTCAGTTTTCGGTAGCCGCGGTTGCTCAGTGTGTAAGACGTTGGCTCGCTAATCTAAACGTCCAGTGTTTGGGATTTTTCGGCGTGGTTTCCCCTTAATCATGTTATTGGAGAGAGAGAGAGAGAGAGAGAGAGAGAGAGAGGGGGGGGGGTTAACGTCCACTCGACACAAACTAGGTCATTTCGGGACTAACATATGGTTCAATTTTATTTCAATAATTCGCTTGCGCGTAGGGGTTTTTAGCAGTGGGAGGAAGCCGGAGGACCCGGAGAAAACCCACGAGGTTGGACAGGCGACCTTACTCCTTGTCACGTACAACCGGGGATTGGAAACCACGCCAGTTGGCTCAATGACAGGCCTTATGATACAGCACGCACGTGCTAACCATTCGGCCACCCCCCCCTCCCGATGTAGGACAGAGGACCGGGCAAGAGACAGCGTATAGCCGTTCGAAAGGGAAATGAAATGGGGTTTAACGTCCTACTGTTCTGCTCCTATACTGGGCTAATGAAGACGGGCATACGCCATACAGTGTGCTATGAGGGAAATTTTGCTCGGGCAGCGGCACTATCGCCTACTCTTATATCGAATTCCAACTGTCAAGGGATCTTTTACGTTTATTCCAATGTATACACGGGACCTCGGCTTTTCGTCTCATCCGAAGGACTAGACAGCTATCTGACGAAAAACCGAGGTCCCGTGTACACGCAAGTCCGATGTACATGTAAAAGAACCCCTCACAGTTGGAATTCGATATAATAGTATAATAGGTATAAACTGTAGCGTCGTACTGTCGTGGGTTTTGATGTGGGTACTCCGGTTTCCTTTCACTGCTAAAGGCTCCTACGCGCAAGCCAATAACTAGTCCCAAAATAACCTCGTTTGTGTGGAGTGGACGTTAATCTCATCCCTCTCTCCCTCTCTCTGTCTCTCTCTCTATTGATCGACCGGTCGATAACGATAGCGGAAGGGATGGGTCTATGGACAATCCTAAGAATGGAATTGGTTTAATTTATACCAGTATGAATTGTTTATATTAAAGTACATCTGACGTTAATCTGTTATATAAAGGATTGGTCCAACGTTAACAGAACAATAATACAAGGCATAAAAAAACAACATTTCTCTATAAACTTTCAGTTTAACATTACCTCTTTAATAGAGCTATATTTCAAATACTGACTGAAAAATATTTCCCTGTAAACTTTCAAATTTAACATCACCATGTCGAATATCATATTTTATTACAAATATCACGGGGGTGGTTGGGGGTGGGGACGTTTGGTTTGGTCTAAAATTACGTTTAATATGTTTAGTTTAGTCCAAAACGACGTTTAGTATTAGTACGTTTAGTATTAGAACGAAATGACGTTTAGTTTAGTCCGAAATGACGTTTAGTTTAGTCCAAAATGACGTTTAGTTTAGTCCAAAATGACGTTTAGTATGTTTGGTTTAGTCCCAAATGAAGTAAGTATAATACTGTTGAATATAACATGTGTTTCACGGTATATAATTCGGGTATAGTCTAATTTACAACAGAAGGTACAACAGAATACTAAGTTTACAATTTTACTAAAGGCGAGAGTATCAACGTCGAAACGTTGCATGTTAATAAACCAGTAATTGTTATTACATAAATAGTGTTAGTGTGTTACTGTTCAATTATTAAATGCCACTAAATGAAGAACTTACGTTTAAAGATAAACATTCAACAGAATTAAGAATCCCATCCTCTCGTTGTGACATCCATTTCAAAACGCCATATATTAAGTTGTCTAGTCACAAAATATGAGTAAAATATCCAAATTTAAACGAGAATACATCGAATGATCTATTCCGAGGTGAAGTCATACTGAAATCAGCCAGAGTCACGGTCGGGTTGTTTTACTAGACACATGTGAGTTATACAAAGTATGTATTTTAATTTTGAACACAAAACATTCAAACGTTCTCCTCTCCCCGACGGTCGTTTCGCAACAACGACAAAGACTAAACAAAAGTTAGCCAGATCATAGAGCAAACGGTTCACATACGTCCGTCACAAACTACAAGATATGAATTCTCTATAATATTTAACAATCCCAACCTACGAGGAGACTCTGTGAAGGCCACCACGCCATGACTTAGCCAATCTCTATATAGCTACATTTATAGATCAACGCCTATTTTATAATCATTATAGACTCAGAAATAAATAAAGCGGAAAATGGGAGCGTGAGTGCTGTATTAGGGTGGCCCTTATTTTGCAAAATTTTGAGAAGTTAAGAGGCTTTCCCCTCAATTTGTTATGAAATTGATGAGAAAAAAATGAAATTTTTTTTTTTTTTTAGATGGTGCTACCGTCTATCAAAGTTCGAACAAAATAGGACTTTTTGGTATTTTTTCAGTTTTGTTTATTTTTATGGAAAAAAGTTATACATGAAAAAAAAGTTGTTTCCTGGTTAATCAGAATGTGAACAAGACAAAAACAACATTTATAAAGCTACACAAGTGATTCCAGTGATCTATACAGAGGTTCGAAAATTGGCAAAATCAAGATTTTTCCGGGAAGTTACATCTTTTTCTTTGATGTTTACTTCTAGCCCTTCTGTTGTGGCTTCCGGTGTACCCCAAGGGTCCGTCCTCGGACCGATCTTGTTTAGTTTATACACTAAACCACTTGGTTTCATAGTAAGACATCATGAATTATTATTTCATCTACACGCGGATTGCGGATGATACACAATTGTATATTTTATTCAAACCTATTAAAAGTAACTTTTAAAGCTGAATATTAAAACTCTTGTATTGGAGACATGAATTGAGGGTATTTTGAAAAAATAAGGGCCACCCTATACTGTATGTGATATCACCCTCGGAGGAAACCGACGTTATGCCCAAAAAACGAGGAAATGGAGTGATGAGAGTGTAAAATGAAATGAAATGGAGTTTAACGTCCTACTTTTCTGCACCGACTGGGATAATGAAAACGGATGACGGGAACGCGGGCGTGTAGTTAATAATTTCACAATTCCGGCTAATGTAGCAATGGTCAACGGTAAACTTCAGGCTAATGTAGCAATGGTTAAAGGTAAACCTCCGCATAATGTAGCAATGGTTAAAGGTAACCCTCCGCCTAATGTAGCAATGGTTAAAGGTAACCCTCTGCCTAATGTAGCAATGGTTAAAGGTAACCCTCCGCATAATGTAGCAATGGTTAAGGGTAAACATCAGGCTAATGGAGCAATGGGTAAAGGTAAACATCAGGCTAATGTAGCAATGGTTAAAGGTAACCCTCCGCATAATGTAGCAATGGTTAAGGGTAAACATCAGGCTAATGGAGCAATGGTTAAAGGTAAACATCAGGCTAATGGAGCAATGGTTAAAGGTAAACCTCAGGCTAATGTAGCAATGGCCGACGGTTTCCCTCTGCCTAATGTAGCAATGGTTAAAGGTAAACATCAGGCTAATGGAGCAATGGTTAAAGGTACACCTCAGGCTAATGGAGCAATGGTTAAAGGTAAACCTCAGGCTAATGTAGCAATGGCCGACGGTAACCCTCTGCCTAATGTAGCAATGGTTAAAGGTAAACATCAGGCTAATGGAGCAATGGTTAAAGGTACACCTCAGGCTAATGTAGCAGAGTGGCCAACGGTAAACCCAGCAGAAATGTTCATATTGTGTTACCACCCCACCCTCCATAAAACATAATCATATAAACCCATTCAGATTTTATAACACAGCCTCAACATAGAAGAAACAAATATAAATATTCAACGTCCCAGGACGTTTTACAAAAACTGGCCACTTTAATGTTATATTGGCTGCTATATTTTTATACTAACACCGGAAGTTTTGATTATGAGGCTAGAGAAATTACATTAAAGAGATTAATACTAGAATTTGTTTTTAATTTAAATCAATTTACAGATCATCGATGTTTTTAATTAACCTAATTTTTTATATAAAGTCTAAATTTTCTCGAGGTTAGAGCACGTGAAATAGATGAGGTTTTAACTCAGATTCTGTGCTAATATTAGGCCAACTATACACTGCCGCCAAGGATCAGACCTTGGGTGTGTGTGTGGGGGGGGGGGCGGGGGTGTGTGTGTGTGTAGTGCTAAATGATAAGGCCAGCTCAATTTTTCGTCATGGGTCACGAGATGTAAACAGGTCTAGCGCTAATCCCAACCCCTAACCCTAACCCTGGACCTACCCCCAATGCTTACCCTAATCCTTATCTACAACTACAATCTCATCAACAATCACGTGCCCAAAACTGATTGTCGTCTCAAAAAAGATTTAGCCGGGTGGTGGTGGTGAGGCGGGGGGGGGGGGGTCCTAGTTGGCACGGCATAGACTGCAGGCCATTGTAGAGGCAGATTTTAATGTGTTGTTGTGTCATGTGTTATGTTTAGAAACAGAATCTATTCTGAATTGTAGTGTTTTTCCTATTGGAAGTCTATTACGCGCAGGGGCCACGGTGGATAAGTGTGTAGGACACGTGTCGCGTGTTCAATCCCTGCATTGGCCGACAAGGACAGTTCTTTAGTCGTTCAAATGGGACGAAAACCGAGGTTCCGTGTATATATTGGCGTGGAGGTAAAAAAGTTGGAATTCAATACATGCAAAAGAGTAGGCCATACTGCCGCTGCCCGGGCAAAATTTCCCTCATAGCACTGTATGGCGTATGCTCATCTTTATTAGCCCAATCGGAACAGAACAGCAGGACGTTAAACCCCATTTCATTTCATTTCATTTCATTTCATTTCTATTATTTGGGCAGTAAAACCCTCGACTGGTGAAATAAAATTTTATATTCGTCGGATTCTGGTATTTCGATATTGTATAATCTCCATTGATCCCCCTTTTTATCAAGTGTAAAAATCCTAATACTGGTTGGATTAATGTAGTTTTAGTTTTATTAGATTCAACTCGTTCATAGATAACAATACTTATTGTCAAACTTCAAACGTTCATATATTCCATGGCCTAGGTACACTTTTCAAACAAGGAGCACGCGTACGACGTCGTATACGCAAATCAATGGGGTCATAATACAAGGCTAAATGTATTTGTTAATGCCAGCTCTATTTTTGTCAAGGTCGTTGAGATGTCAATAAGGTTAGAGCATGTGATTGTTGGCGAGATTGTAGTCGAGGCTTAGGGTAAGCTTTGGGGCTAGGCGCAGGGTTAGGGATATGGTTAGGAGTAGCGCTAGCCCTGTTTACATCTCGTGACCTATGACGAAAATTGAGCTGGCCTTATCATTTAGCACTAACCCATCATACAAGTATCTTATCGCCCACAACGTCATTTCCGGACGGAAATTGTTAATTTCCATATTACGTGATAATGTTTTCCCAATTGGGGTGGGATCAAAATCGAGGGAGCTTAAGAGTGAGGGGAGGGCAGAGGGGAGGGGGCGGGGGTGAAATCGGAGAAAACATTCGATTCTTATTGACGGCGATGACATAATGCACGTTTCATGGTCCATATACATAATGCAAGAGCTAAATCTGCCTAATGCAGGTCTTTCTTTAGGCCTGAAATGTTATCTAAATTATTAATTAGACATTATTTTTAATTAACCTATCCAGACCATAATCAACTCTCGATGTCAACGCTAGCCTGCGATATTTATTGGATTAGGATCCGATTTGTTGCTCAAGTTTCATTCATAATTTAATCATGAACTGGATGATCGAGACTATGTTTTTTTTATCGTACCGACTTTAGTAACGATGATTGAGGCTAGGCCGAAAATTCAATCGCTAAATTCTCGGTCCAGAGTGGAGCAATTTGACTGAAATTTTCAGCAAATTGCCTTTACATTATCTAGTTTTTAACTATTATAGTGAGAACTACCAGCTCTTTATCTAATCTCCCATATTGTATCTTTAATTCAGTATTAATAACATTAAAATATATTTATTTTGAGATATGTGAATAATCAGTGGTTTTAATAAAAATAAATATTATGATGTAGTCTAGGGGGGGGGGGGGCGAATGGTTAGCACGCGCGCGCTGTATCATACGGTCTGTCATTGAGTCAACTGGCGGGGTTTCTATTCCCCGGTTGTACGTGACAAGGAGTAGGGTCGCCTGTCCAACTTCGTGGGTTGTCTCCGGGTCCTCAGGTTTCCTCCCACTGCTAAACACCCCTACGCGCAAGCGAATTATTGAAATAAATTAAACCATATGTTAATCCCGAAATGACCTAGTTTGTGTCGAGTGGACGTTAAACCCCATTTCTCTCTCTCTCTCTCTCTGTAGTCAAGAGGATAAGAAAGTAAATATGTTTTTATTAAAAATAAAAATGAACATTTAATAATCACCTACAGAACAACCTAACAATAATAATGGACCTACTAGTAATACTCCACCCATTCCCCGGGTAATAAACCATTCAGACATTAAAACAGTCGTTTATTGTATTCTAAGAGATCGGCCTACACTTAGAACTTTTGTTAAACAGTTTGTAAGTGTTTATGAAATGAAAATATTAGCACGGGCAATAAATCAGTTATTTCTTGTTTGACTTTGGGGCACATGTGTTTTAAATTTATTAAAAGAAATAAAAGTGGGTTCAAATTTTCAAGTCTGTACCAACTGGGATTATGAAAACCTGTATACGCTATGCTGGATTTTGTACAGGCAGCGCAGCGCTTCCACTCGCTCTTCATTGAACAATAAAATAATTATAGGATTGAACAACATCGTTTTCCCTCCCCCGCACTACGTTTTACTTTAAATACTCATCTAAAGTAAAATATCGCTGATTAACAATAATTTATTAATTTGTAACCGAGAGAAAGAGAGAGAGAGAGAGGGGGGGGGGGCTTTAACGTCTTTTCGGGACTAACAAATGGTTCAATTTTATGTCAATAATTCGCTTGCGCGTATCGGTCTTTAGCAGTGCGAGGAAACCGGAGGACCCGGAGAAAACCCACGAATCGAAACCACACCGGTTGACTCAATGACAGACCCTATGATACAAGGCTCACGCGCTAACCATTCGGCCATCAAACATATAAAATAAACAAATATCAGAAACCAAGCATGACGTAATCGCCGCCATCTTAGAATTGTCAGGCCTACATGTACCTCATATCAAAAATCGAACTCCGCCAATCGA